GGGAGGCCAAGATTGCTTGAGCCCAGGAGTTCAAGACTAGTCTGGGCAACATGGTAAGACTTAAAAAATGAACAAATACAAGAAAGTTTAAAAAAAAAAAAAATGAGGATGTATTAAAGAAAATGCTCCTAATTCTCTTATGTCTTTTCATAGCTGTTTCCACATTCTCATATTCCCTTCTAATCCTTGTCAACATGTAATTTGTTTTATACAGTTGCAATTATGGTCCATTAATACAATCTATTTGTATGTTACCAGTAACAATAATACTAACAGTGAACCCTTATTGAGCATTTACTATGCGCCACGCACAGGGCTAAAAGTTTTAGAGATGATCTCATTTACCTTGGGTTATTCACCCAAGCTTTATGGCCAGCAGACGGCAAAGCCTGAATTCCAACCCAGCTCTGCTGACTCCCAAGAACATCCACCTGCACACTGCCTCTTGGGCCTTGTTTATCTGGCAAGTCCTAAACCCCAGACTCATTTGTTCACTTGCTTGCTTCCTCCCTCCTTACCAAAACACAGTATGATCTATCGGTTAAACTCACAGACTGAAATCTCCGGGTTCAAATGCCAGCTCCTCTCTCACTAGCTGTATGACCTTGGGAAAGCATTTAATCTCTCTGTGCCTCAATTTCCATGTTTATAAAATGGGGATAAAGTGCCCATTATAGTGCCCATTTCCTAGGATTCTACCCAGGAGATGATGTGCCTATTTCCTAAGGTTCTTGTAAGTACATTCTGCAAGGACAGCACTCCAAATAGTACAGGCACATGGTTTTGACACTTGTTTCTGTTATTATTGAAATAAAAAGAACCTGTACCTGTTCCCAGGAAGCTCAGAGTCTCTCACAGGCCTTTTCAGTTCCTGGGGCTCTCATATTTCCTCATTCTCCCAGACTCCTCTGACCCTACTCTTCCTCAGGCTCTTACTGCTCCTGTGGGAAATCAGAAAGAGCAGCCAGCAGACAACACCAACTGAGAAGAATGCAGCTGAAATGGCACAGGTCAGTACAGCCAAGAAACACCATGGGCTAATGTTCAGACCCACGGTCTGAAAGCCAGAGTGGGTGTGAATTTCACTCCCGTGTCTCTTTTCTTGGATGATTTTCATCTGCATGACCCATTTGCCCAATGCCCAGTGGTTGTGAAGATACAGAAAAGTCCAGGTACTGCTTTCAGGGAAGTAAGATGTCCTGTGCCAACTCTTCTCACTTCAGGGTCAAGTCAGAGTGCACAAGGAAAGCAGGTGGGGCTGGCCCGCCAGCAAAAGCTTCAGGAGAGCAAAGGGTTGGCTAACTGGGCTGCAAAGGTAGTGTTCAGAGCCAGCTACCTTGGAGGCCAAGATACTGGAGGAGCTGCATAAAACATGGATTTTGCAGCCAAATAAGAACTGGCCTTGATTCCAGCTCAGCCATTTATTAGATGTATAATACTGGGCAAATTTACTTAACCTCTCTGAATAGCAGTTTCCTCTGCTGTAAAACAGGCTGTGAAAATCCCTACTTTTTTGACAGTTGGGAGGATTAAATGTTTGCACCCCATAGATAACAAAATAAGGAAGGGTGATTTCTCCATTTCTTCTTTGTGGTGGACTGATTATAAAGATCAAGATGTTTTTACTTTTAAATTTTAAAAATATCTAAGAATACTATGCCTTATACTCTAAGGGGTTTTGCTCAAGGTTTATCACTTCCTAATAAAAGTAGGTATAACTACCATTTATTGAGTGCTGACCCTGAGCCAGTACTTATGCTTTACAAGTATAAATGCATTTCAATCCTTATAATAACCCTATCCAAATTCCCCGTTTTACGGAAGAGAAACCTGAGGTTCCATGAAGTAAGATAACTTGCTCAAAGTCACAAGGCTAGCCAATGGCAGGCTGGGATTTGATCAGCCCAACTCTAGCACTCATGCTCCTCACCACTATGATGGCTCTCAAAATGGGCCCCTCAGACCCTCTCTGTATTTTGATTCTTTGGCTTTCTCCCTCACTAAGCTATGAGATCCCTATGGGCAAGAACTGGCTCCATCTCAGTCTCCACTGTATCCCCAGGACCTAGGCAGTGCTGGGCACCTAGTAGTGGCTTGGAGAGCATTTGTTAAATGAATAAATGAGTGATGGTGTCTCTTTTCTCTGTACAGGAAATGGTGAGGGGCCTACCTTCTTACCCCTAAATGCCAGCAAGCACATATTCTACTAAAAGCACAAGCCCATTGCTGGGGGGCTCTAGAAGGGTTTCAGTTATCATGTACTTAGGGGAACTGTAGAAGCTGGCAAGACATTTTGCTGAGACCGGTTCTGAAAAAAACAGGTCTTTGGACATGCTGTCCCAACACTGCCAGTATCATTTCAGGGGCCTTGCAGCTCCATAGAAGACCCCAGGAGACCAGTCAGCTGGATTTGACTACCTATAGTCACCATCCAGGTTGTCAGATGCCAATTTTTTTCAGGAGAATAGCTGAGGCTAGCCAGAATGTGGCTGGGCAGCACCCTCTAGGCTCTCACTGGATAGAACAGGATACGGAGAAAGGTCCCCTAGCCACCAAGACCTCTTCCTTATAGCTGAGAAACTTCCAAGGATATGTTAACTAGGAACAATGTTTGTCTGATTAATTTCAAGTCTGCCAGATGGGTGAGTGACTAAGAAAGGAACTGTGGCCTCAGATCCTGAGTGAACTGGTTCATGCAGAAGTGACTAATACAGAAGCCACCACCAACCCCAAACAACCACAAGGGTTCTGTGCAGCCATGTAAAACAGAATCAGTCAACAGGAGACTCACAGGACAATCATTCACCTTTGTTCCCTGCACCAGGGGTCCTGCAATCTGAGACTTATCTGGAGCTGGAGTAAGGTCTGAGGCATGCTGGTGGGGTATGTGAGGGTGGGGGGTGAGGGTGGTCGCATCCAGGCAATCATTCTATTAAGGATGTGCCAGATGACCCACAGACTCAGGTCTGACTCCTCAGGAGCTCACAGCTAGTGGGGGTTCAGACAAGAACACAGGTACATAACTAAAACTCTATTGATAAGGGCCCCTCGGTAAGGTGCTATGGGCATCATAACGAAGCAGTTCCATGGCCCAGTCAGCTCATCTGGAGGAAAAAAATAAAATAAAAAGGAAGCAGTTCCAGACAGAAGACCATCTCCAAATGGTTCTTTATTGAACACCCACTTTGGCTAGGCAGTATTCTCCCCCTGCCCTCTAATCCAGGCTCAGGTACCCCCAGTGGAGTATCCTCAGAAGGTACCTCCCAAGACCAGGAGTAATGAGAGACTGGGCAGAGGGTTAAGGGACAGCAGGGAGAGGGAGGAAAATGAAGACACCAGGGAAAGAGGAGAGGCCTGAACTGGACAGCTGATGCTTTTTCCTGCCCAGCACCCATTCGTCCCTTCTTCAGGTAATATCATCTGCCACAACCACCAGCACCAACTCTCAGTCTCTGTGGGTACATGCCAGGCCTGTCCATTTGGTGTATTCCATCTTCCTGGCTACAATGATGACTTAAGGCTGGATACCTTCCTCATCTGGACCAATGAGAACCAAATCCAGCAGTTCTGTCAGCAAAGGGGAGCTCTTTTTATCAAAAACTGGTGCTGTGGGGCCGGCCACACTGTGAAGCCCGAGAATAAAGCCAACTCAAATGAAAGCAGAGCTGAGAGCCAAAGAGACAGATCCCAGTTTGGAGTCCTGGGATGCACCCTGAAGCCCAATCTAGCCCATCCTTTTCAGCTATATGAGCCATAAATTCTTTCTGCCCCAAGTGAACTGGAAAGAGTCCCAACCAAGGTCCTTCCCATCTGGCTGTTCTGGAAGTATTCTGAGGATAAGGAGATTTTCTTCTCTAGGGTTATAAAAGTAATTATGTGGTGACAGGCTGTTCTTAGGTCCCTGGGGTGAGAGCCACCATGGAGACAGAGTCCAGCTCGCCTTTCCTAGGATACACACTCACTACTGTCAACACATCTTCGAATACATCAGCACATAATTATAAACTCCTATTGTTTGTAGTAGCTATTGTTTTCGTCTTCCCACCATTTTGTTTTGGATGAAGAAAAGGTCATGACCCAGACTGGATTAATCATGTGGCCAAACACGCATGGCCATAGTGACTGACCCAAGAGGACATGGAACTCACAACAAACTATTGAGAACTTTGGGAATTTCCAAATTAGAACTGGAAGGGAAGAAACCTTTCATTCAGGGCCCCCAAGCTGGGAGGATGCAGGTCTGGAGCTGTCAGCTGTCATGGCCCTAAATGCATGGAGAAGCTATTTATTTTGGTGGTTTTAATGTATAAACATTTAAAAAATGACAAACTAGAAAGGAATTCTAGATGGAACTAGTGTCAATGATTACATACAGCTATTCTGTTTTGCAACCCCCACAATTGGATATTAGGTCAGGATAGCTCTTGCTAAATTCTAACCTTCAAGACTGAACTGTTCTGCCCTATTCACTTACGGATCAGAGCATTAAGCAAAGACAACCTGCTTAGCCTCTAACTTCTAAATCTTCTTTCTAAGCTAAGAGGTCAGAGCAGAACCAGGAAAGATTGTGCTATCTGGTCAGAAGGAGATGGTAAGAACAGCCCTAGCAACTTCATTTACTCCTGGGGCTCTGTGCCCACAATCTGATTTTACGAGCCCTTCATGTATATATGCGAATGGACTCTGAGTACAGACATTTAGGTGTGAATTGTGGAGTTTATGGCAAATACAGGGTAGGTTGAATGGTTCTAGGCCAGGGAGCAAGAGTTCACAAATGCGGTGTCTTCAATGAAATAAGGTAAGTACCTTGAGGCAAGGAGTAACTGCCTGACTAATGCATTCACATGAGAGACTCAAATCTAACACTTGGCAAAATTACAATCTGTGATGCTGAGGTCCCCACTTTTAGTGAAAGCCAAAGGCCCCAGGTCAAAATGCTAAAAAGTCTTTTACTAACTACCCTAGAACAGCTAAGGTCCTAGGAAAGAGAGAAACACTAATCACCCCTACCCTCAAGTTTTAAGAGCCAACAGGAATCTGGGCTCTGAAAAGTCACAAACACCTTTCCCAGGATTATGAACAATTGCCAACAACTGGCCAAATGTGTTAGCAGCAGAAAAGCTGGGCATTACCTGTGTGAGAGGCTCTCAGCATGGGTAGTGTATGGCCATGAGCAGCACACCAGCTACACAGCCTCCACACCGGAAGGGTGCTGCTGCTCTGCAGGTCCGTTTCAGGCAGGATCCAGCCATCCAAGGACCAAGGGGCTGGAGCGTTGGGAACAGATGATTCTGTGTTCCACAGATAATGGTACAAAGTGACTGTTCACAGATAAGGTGTAAGCACAGCATTTGAAGACAACTCCTCCAGATAGTCTGTCTGTTAGTAAATTCTTAAGAGGTTACAGCCTTGAGGATTGAGAAATTCTAAAGAAATTTTTTAAAAGGAGGAGGGTGGTAGATGTCAAACACAAGAGTTTTTTCTAGGTGCTGACTGGCTCACTTTGTCCTCAGGTTCATCTTAGAGCTCAAGCAGATTCAAGACATGAGGCAGAGATGCTAGACTTGTGTCAGCGGCAAAAACTTCTGGTAGTAGCTCTTGGTGACGTCAATCATCAGCTCCTGAGTGCACTCTGGGAGCTCCCCTGAGAAGAGTCCTGGGGAAAGAAAGACCCAGCTCTAACAAGCTTAAAGAAGTTACAAGAGATTAAGATATTTCTCTGGCAATATCCCTCTCACCTCAATCAGATGCATGTCTGACAATCACTTAAACAATTGCTGGGGCTGTTCTGGTCCAGCGCTTGCTAAGAACAGCTAAACTTTTTCACAGCAGGACCCCAATATGGAGAAATTACTAAACAAAAGTCTTTCCTTCCTCCTCTGCAAAAGCAGAGATGCGTGACACGGTAGAATGGCCAAATGCCTCCCCAAAGAATCTGAATGATGATTCTGTTCATCTTAGAAATTCAGATTCAATGATCTGAGAAATGAGATTTATTTTTTAATTGGAAAAACAATTAAACCACCCAGTGGTAGGTATCATATACTGTCAAATCTCTCTGTTCATATCATTTTCCATCTGTGAATTTATGACATGCTTCTGTATATGCTACATGATTTCAGCTGTGTAAAACAACATGGAGAAGAAGATACTGTCTTGGGGTAGGGCTAAGGCAATGTGAGGTTTTCTTCTTCCTTCTGCTTTTCAGTGTTTTCCAAGTTTTCTGAGAGAAGTATGTATCACTTTTGTTTCCTCACGTTTTATAATTTGGAACTCCAGGCTCCTGATGGGCTTTACTTGTGAGTATTCTATCAGCCAAGGTCTGGAGATAATGTATTAATATTTGCCCCTCTCAGGTATCCTCAAGGTATTGCTGGTCTTAGACCATGCTTTATACTAACTTTTCAGTCTGGGAATTCCTGGGCCATGTGGAATGTATAAATTAAACTCATGACCAATGTGAGGGTAAGCCCAGCATTAAAATTCTCTAGACAGACTTCTTCTACCCAGAGCCCAGGCCAGGCAAGAAATGCTTTCCTGTACATTCCCTGTGTTGCCAGCAGATTTGTTTTACATCGACTTTTCCTTGAGAGGGAATCCTTTAAAGAGTTATCTGAGGATCTCTCTGTCATGTGTGGATCCAAAGCTTTATTTCCGTCCTGACATGAGTATCACCCCTAAAACCACTCTATGATGAAGACAGCATTAACCCGTGCAATCTCACAGCCTGGGCTTAGTTTCCTCTTTGTGTTTGGCCCTTCATAATTTCCTTATTTGCTGGTGAACCTAATTATGCATTTAAACAGTTTAAATGTTAGGTAGCATTTCCAGGTACTTTGTACAGGTGAATTTCTAAGTTAGCTCTAGCAACATATTGCCAGAGATAGGAATTGTATGCATTACTCTTGTGATGGAAAATATAATTGAGTTTTAGGAAGTTAAACTAAATCAACACGCAAGGTTACCTGGGCAGCCTGAGAAGACAGTGAATGGTGGGACCACAGTTTCTGGAGGTAATACCGTGTTGTCAAGAATTTTGCAGCAGTCTTTCAACACACATCGGCGCCCCTGAAATTAAAATCTTGTTAATAGGAAATGGATCAGGAAATGGGAGTAAAATTTGTCTAGTCTACTGTGTGAAAGGCTCCTTTCTATTTTCCCCATTCATGATATCATGTAATAGCCAGGGACAGTGACAAGAGGCTTGGTTGCAATTTCCTGCTTCAGGTGGTACCCGACGAGGAGGAGGCAGCAAGGTTGTGACAGTGTGTGTTTGTGTACATTTGCGGGGGAAGGCTGTATGCTAGAGACAGGACAAAATGTCATGGCATTACAGACTGAATTTCAGTCTTCCGTGAGCTCTGTTGAATTTTCCCTTTGATTTAGTGGACGTTTGTGCTTTTGCTTGTCCAGCATCCATTCCCCTTTCTTCTGGTAACAGAACCTGTATTTTCCTTGGTAACCCTCCCATCCCCATCTCATCCATGTGCTTCACCCCACAGTCCACACACTAAACCCCAAGCCTGGACACAATAACAGGTGTTGGGGATCAGCATATGACCCCAATTAGTCTGATGGACCCCAACCTCAGGGTTTTTGCTGGGACTGCTGGGGAAAGCAGCACTTCCCACTGGGGTTTCCAGAGGACAGGCTGGAAGACTGGAATAGGCATCTTATTTCCATGAAGGAAGAACCTGTCTGAGAGTGAACCTCCCAGAGGAAAGCAGCACAGAGATGGAGACTAATTCTTACAACATGGGCTGAAGCCCTGGAGCCATTTGGCCATGACATTAGGATCTACTCCTGTAGTCTTAGTTTACATTCACCACCCATTCCACTCTGCACCCACAAGCTTAAGGTTGGTTGGTTGGTTTGCTCCTTTGTCGATTCAAACTGGAAAAATCCTGACAAATTCATTTGGATATGAAACTATTAGTTCACTTGTTCTCCCACAGGTGAGTGATAGTCATGTGGATGTTTGAACCTCATCCCAGACTTTAACCACTGTCACCACTTTTCAATTCTGCCACGATCCACTGCATTTGGAGAGCAAGAAATAAGGTCTGAGAGACTCATCTGTTTCATGAGCTAAGGGAAAAGTAGGGCTTCTGTGTACAGTTTACAGCTGTACCTCAGACTCCTTGCTGAGGAAATGAAAGTTTTGGTCATTTTTGACTGCATTTACATCAGGACCTGTTAGTTCACTGGTATCCTGGCTAGACAATCAGAAAATATACCTGACTGAGAGTGTGGAAATCTTTACAAATACCAGGACAATGCTAACCAGTCCAGATCTCAGATTGTTTAGCAAAGAACATGAAGAAGACACTTTGATTTGGTTGTGTTTAAATTTTTCCCCACTATTAAACACTTAAATCATATGTTTTTCTAGGAAAAGGTAGATTGCTAAATGAACTTCTTATGAAAGCATGTGAATTTCCCAAGTGGCTCTGAATTTCCCAAGTGGCTGATCTCTCTCCAGCGAGGTAGATAACAGCTCTGACAATACTTGACAACATCTTTAGCTCAAAAGCACATTATGACTATAGTTCTTCATTCTTCCTTGTAAAGTCCTCTTCCATGGGTTACCTGCTAGTGGCAATTTCAAAAATATGGCAACTAACTATCTTCCCTGGTGACCTCAAATTAACATAAACCCAAAGAATTTCTGTCATGACTAAGCTCCTACTAACTCAGATTAAGTTCATGAGGCACTGAGTAAAAGGACACCCAACGGGCTACGTGAGGCATGATATAGTCCCATGGAAGGATCCACACACAAAGGGCCCTGGAAAAGAAGACTAGTTGATGGGATATTTTCACTGTGTATACCAGCCACCATGCAGCCTGAAGGCACCTGCTCTGTCCACTGGTTGGCCATTTTGCCCACTTAAGAGAAATAATGCTTAACTGGGTTTCAGAAGCTGTCTGGGTAAACTGATCAATCAAATTAAACATTCAAAATGTAGGTATTTCTTAGGAATAAATGCACTGGCAATAGCTGAGGAAGTAAAAGCTGAAACCACTTTTTCTGGGGGGTGGTGGTGGGGGGATGGAGTCTCACTCTGTTGCCCAGACTGGAGTGCAGTGGCATGATCTTGGCTCACTGCAACCTCCACCTCCTGGGTTCAAGCAATTCTCCTGTCTCAGCCTCCCAAGTAGCTGGGATTACAGGCACGCGCCACCACGGCTAATTTTTTTGTATTTTTAGTAGAGACAGGGTTTCACCATGTTGGCCAGGCTGGTCTTGAACTCCTGGCCTCAAGTGATCCTCCTGCCTCGGCCTCCCCAAGTGCTGGGATTACAGGCATGAGCCACTGCGCCCGGCCTGAAACTACTTTATTCTTTAGAGAGTTTTCCAAGGAGTTAACAACTGCAGCCATGCTGCTAATACTACAGCTACCTATATATCCTGTGCAAGAAAGTTAGCATCTTGGAGCCTTGGTTTCCTCATCTGTGAAACAGAATGGAAAACCAATCTGCAGGGGGGTTGTCATAGAGAGAATAAATGTAAAACTCATAGTACAGCAACAGTGCCTATAAATATTGCTTGTTAAGCTTTTCCTTCAGGCATCTGGGCAATTCTGATGAACACCTTCATCTTCACATATCCAAACGGAAGTTAAGACCACCACATGGGATGTTATAGGAAGGATCTATGTGTCATGGGGACAGCTGGACTAAAAGAGTTACTTCCAGTGTTGAAGTTCTAGAATTCTAAAAGAATCTCTCCTGAGATTGAGTATTTGTCAAGGCTCAGCAAGTACTGCCAATATGGAACAATGACTATTATCATGAAGTGATGTATTAAAAAGTGGCATAAAAACAAGAGCACCTGACAGCAGGATTAGAATTTCTTAAGCACTGGGAATAGAACTTGGATTTAACCTTTCAGACATTTTGCTCTGAGAATAAACGACAGGGTTATACGACTAGGCTACTGCGGTAATATCTTCACTTTACTAAGGAAAATATCAGAAAACCCCAGCTGGAAGGCTAGTTTTTGCCAAGCAATTAGGGTGAGGGAAGAGGATGAACTTTACTAACTTTCTCCTTGTCCCAAAGACTTTCTGTTCACCTTTGCTGTACCCTCATAGTTCCTGGAATGTGAACTGTTTGGTTTCTGCAAGTTTTTTGATATTTCAGGGTCTGAGTCTTATCCAGGGCAGAGAGCTGGCTCCATATTAATGGGAATGGTCATTAAAGAAACAGAGTCTTGGCTTTTCCTAGAGTCTAGTCTGGAGTACAAATCTAAAATGCAGAAAACATTTTCCCTACACATGCTTCTCATAAATTCCATCTGAAATCAAGCTCATCATCTAAGAAATCACAGGAAATCCAACTTGTTAAGCCTTGGTTGGGTTAAATCAACCTATTCCTAGGCTCCAGTGGACCAGGGTCCGACAGATTCTGCTGAGCAAGGGGCCCGCTTGCACCCTGAATTACACGTAAATGCCTTTTGATGACTCGAACCCTTCCTTACGCATGCGAATCCCTTTCCTGAAATGCTTGTCCTCCCCCAATTTCAACTCAGCCTTCAGATTTCCTTACTCCCATTAGACTGTAAGCTCCATGAAGTAAAGCAACAAGTAGGCCATATAGCAGCATAGCTAATAATCATATTACCTGGGTTTAAATCCCAGGTCTACTGCTTTCTAGCCCTATCAAATCCCTTAACTTTTGTTTTTTTTAAAAAAGAAAGAATCTTGCTTTGTTGCCCAGGCTGGTCTTGAACTCCTGGGGTCAAGGGATCCTCCTGCCTTGGCCTCCCAAAATGCTGGGATTACAGATGACAGTCATCACACCTGGCCCCAAATCCCTTAATATTTAAGGTCATCAGTCTTCTCATCTGCAAATACGGATAACACGTAACACCTTTGAATGGTTGTGAGGAATAAATGAAATCATCCAAGGAAAGCGTTTAACATTATATAGAGGAGGCTTGATAAACGCTTGCCAGTATTAATGTCTAGAAAATATTCCAAATCTTTTTATTTATATATTATTTTTAAGACAGTGTCTCGCTTTGTTGCCCAGACTGGAAAGCAGTGGTGCAATCTTGGCTCTTTGCAACCTCCGCCTCCTGGATTCAAGTGATTTTCCTGCCTCAGCCTCCCGAGTAGCTGGGACTACAGGCATGCACCACCATGCCCAGCTAATTTTTGTATTTTTCTAGAGACAGGGTTTTACTATGTTGGCCAGACTGGTCTCAAACTCGTGACCTCAAGTGATCCACCCACGTCAACCTCCCAAAAAGCTGGAATTGCAGGCATGAGCCACTACGCCCGGCTGAAAAAAATTCCATATCTGTCAAGAAAAATCCAACTATGGGAAGACGAAACCACTGCTACCCTGCTTGGTCACAGAAACAGGGTCCCACTGATGTGAGGGATAGGAGCTGGAGGGAAAGTGAGGCTGCTTTGCCAGCCAAGTCATCATACTCACAATCACACAGTTCTTCCCAACATGAACGTAGGAACCAATCTGAGCTGCGTTGACCACACAATCTTCCTCAATAAAGACATGGTCCCCAATATGTAAAGGAAAGAATGCAACACTAGAAGAGGAAAAGAAGATGAACAAAGAAAGGTCAAGATGATGTACTATGGGTCAAGGTTTATAGAACTACAGATCATAATCTGAACTTTATCATCTTAGCAAGACTGTCCCCAGCAAGGAAAGAAACCTCAGGCTAGAAAAATCATACAATATTGAAGAAAATGAACGTGATTACTAGTTCAAAACTGCAATAGTACACCAAAGAAATATGCAAGGAAAAACCAAGGCAGGAGGGGCAAGATCTTCAAAGCTAAAAGAGCAGGTACCAAATAAAAATCAATGAACGTTTGTTCATTCCCACTTCCTTTGAAAATGCTCACAGATCACATTTTTACTAACGTGCCCTATAATGTTCCAGGGAATTGACATTAGGATCATGAGTTATAATTTCCACATTCAGCATTCTAAAAATTTATTCATTCACAGATTTCAGTGAGTGCCTACTATGTGCCAGACTCAATGCTAGAAATCAGGGCTACAACCATGACAAAAGAGATAGAACCCTGTCCACGAGCAGCTTACAATCAAGAAAAGAGATTAAATAGTAAGTAGTGACAACTATGATAAGGGATACAGAAACACAATATCAAGTTATGACCACATATAACAAGGAGACGTTACCTAGTCCACGGCTTTAGGAAAAACTTAATTGACTTTGAGTAGGAGTCAGCAGGCTTTCTCCAGATATCTGACATCATTCCCATCCCATTCTCTAGGGTTCCTCAAATGTCACTGACAGTGGTTCTGTGATCACATTTATACGTAATTTCTATACCTTGGGATGTAAAATATTTGGACTGGAATGAATATAAAGTGCTAGATGCTCATTAGCTCCTTCCAATTCTGTTCTATTTTGTTCAGAATATTTTTTCAGAGATGATACCTGTCCTCTATGAACCTATAATTTGTTTAAATCTTCCTTAACCATTACTATTTTTGGTCTGTACCTCCTGTGCAGCAATGCATTCCTTGATCTCATCACGGTCTGTAGCAGTACTGACAGTTCTTTAATTTTTAAATTTAAGATTCCAAGTTTGATAGTATTATCTGATTCTCGTATGAAATGCAGGTAAAAAAAATCCACATTCAGCTTCTATTCACGTTTTGCTATTTACACTTTCATATTTCTGCATTTCTCACATGTACTATTCCTACTTACACATCCCTTCATTCAGCAATAAAAGCCTTGTTCACTCTTGGTGCTTTTCCTGTGCCATATCCAACCCAATAATGCTGTTAATCAACATCTCTAGTAGGGTTTCAGTCACACCATATAAAACCATAAAAGAGTACCAGGAGGTTTTCTGGTTTCCCCCTAATAGCCTTCAAAGCTAATCATGTGAATTTTTTATAATGATTCTCTGATCCAGTTCTTGTATGTCATGGAAAGCCTAGAATCCAATATCATTACTGGACATGTGGGATTATTTCTGCATGATACACTTCTAGGTATTATCATTAGTTTGAGTTAATTGCTCCCTTTTCTGTTCCTTCCTAACCATGTTCATACCTCTGTGACAGGTGTATCACACCATATAGTAGCTGTCACATGTCACTATCTGATTATGTTAATTGTTTCTACAACTAGACTTTGGGAACTTTGAGGCAGGAATCTTATTTTATCTATCTTTATATATTCTCAGCTTATAACCTAGCTGCGGGCATGAAGAAGGTACTCAATAAATGCTTGCTGACTTATTGGATGAAATGCAGATGGGTGCCAGGAGGGCAATTAGCCAAGGAGGAGAGAGGTAAAGAGGCAAAGAGAATACTTTTAGCACCATATCAGCTATGGTGGTCAGTTTGCCTGCTCTGTCCATGGCCTTTCTTGGATAGTCTTTATTCCCACTGAAGGATCAGTGGACCTGACTTGACTCTGCCCTTTGGGTCAAAGCTGTTCAGATCATGCATACTTAAGGTGAGCCAATCAGATTCTCTCTCTCAGGAGTTTGGAAATGACACATAAGGTCTCTAGTTGGTGTCTGCTGGAAGCCTAAATGGAGAAATGATATAAATTAGAATGTGAGTCAGCAAGGTAGTCTCCATGAACAAATGGGGCAGGTATCTGTGAGAGAGAAAAGGGAAGTAGAAATGCAGAGAGAAGGGCAGTATAGAAGAAAAAATACAATCTCAGATACAGAGAGGGATAGGTAGACAAAACTGTCTTGATTCCAGCTAGCTGTCCAATTCCAGGTTCCGGTCCCTTGTGAGGCCTGGCTTGCTCCTTTTCCTGCTCTTAGGTTCCATTATATAAGCCAGTCTGTTTGATCAGAAACCCCTTGCTTTTGCCAGTGTATAAGTGGATTCTGTTTGTGGCAACCAATCATCAACCAGACTGAGACAACCACCAGCAGAATTGTGTTCATTATGGTGAACTCTTACTTAGTGCTTCAAACAACAGGATGGACCTAGTCATTATACCACAACTCAACACATGGACCATACCACCAGTGGCAGCTTCTTGCCCAAGACTTGAACAAGTAATTAAATTACATACCCTTTGCTGAATTTCTTGAATGGTGGCCTTATGACACTACGACTTTTTACAACACAATGACGTCCAACTCTTACGTTTGCCAGATCCCCTCGGATAATACAGTCATTCATCACAATGGTCTGTAAGACAAAGCAAATTTTAAAAAATTAGCAACATAGTCTAAGACGTAACAAAAAAGAGTAGATAATGAGATACTGATTCTGAGTTATGTTACAATCCACTCTGATAGAACGTTACAAATGTTCTGCCAAAAGGAGTAACTTGTAAGGTAAAAAGAGAACTGCCCTCATGACAGTGACTGCAGTTAGCGATGTTCCTAGTAAATCATAAGCTTTGCCCTTAATCCCCCATGAATAGAACTCACTGAATGAGCACTTAGTGAGAACACCTAAAGCAGATCTGGCTTATGTGTCTCTTTAGAATCACTCAGGTAGGTCCTTGTGCCTCCGAAGCCTTGGCTGCTTGCTTATCAAGAGTTCTGGCTGCTCTACCTTTGTCTTCTTTCTTAACAGTACTACCTCCAGCTCCGTGCTCCCAGAGGTGGACGCAATGGAGTTCTGGTTCATCTTCCAACCTCTGAACTCAGATTCTAAGTGCTACACTGCAGCAGAGTGTAAGATGTGGCTTCCCCAGAAGTTGCTGAGAGGGGCTGAGTAACACAACCTGTAAGTCTGGGAGGATTAATGCCTTATACTTGGTAAAGAGTAGGCACCCTCAAAATGTCTGCTGAATAAATAAATGGGGTTAAAAAGTGAATATGCTGGAGTTGTAACTGGAAAAAGTAAGCAAGGGACATGCAAGTAGATTATGAGGAATTATGTATGCTAAGCACAGAAGCTTAGGCATTTTTCCTAGAGGATATAAAGAGTCAACAAAATATTTTATTTCATTAAAAATTTTTTTCTGGCCAGGTGTGGTAGCTTACACCTGTAATCCCAACACTTTGGGAAGCTGAAGCAGGCAGATCACCTGAGGTCAGGAGTTCGAGACCAGCCTGGCCAACATGGTGAAACCCCATCTCTACTAAAAATACAAAAATTAGCCAGACACGGTGGCAGGTACCTGCAGTAATCCCAGCTACTTGGGAGGCTGAGGCATGAGAATCGCTTGAACCTGGGAGGCAGGGGTTGCAGTGAGCCGAGATCACGCTATTGCACTCCAGCCTGGGCAAAAAGAGTGAGATTTTGCCTCAAAAAAAAAAAAAATTTTTTTTTTTAAGACACAGGGTCTCACTCTATTGCCCAGGCTGCAGTGTAGTGGCACAATCATAGCTCACTGCAACCTTGAGCTGCTGGGCTCAAGGGATCCTCCCGCCTAAGCCTTCTGAGCAGCTGGTACTACAGGTGTATGCCACCACATCCCACTAATTTTTAAATGTTTTGTAGAGATGGGAGTCTCGCTATGTTGCCCACACTGGTCTTGAACCCCTAGGCTCATGCAATCAATCCTCCAACTCTGGTCTCCCAAAGTGCTGGGATTGCAGGCATTAGACACTGCACTTGGCCCCAGTATTTTAAACAGAGGATTAACATACATAAATTTCCATATTATTACTACTACTGTGGAAGCACCCTGGCATCTGCATGGGGGATGCAGGTGAGAGACTTGAGGAAAACTGACCCTTTAGATGACTACAATGGATCAAGGTAAAAATAGATAATTAATCTTTTTTTTTTTTTGAGATGGAGTCTTGCTCTGTCACTCAGGCTGGAGTGCAGTGGCGTGATCTTGGGTCACTGCAACCCCACCTCCCAGGTTCAAGCAATTCTCCTGCCTCAGCCTCCCCAGTAGCTGGAATTACAGGCATCCGCCACCACGCCTGGCTCATTTTTATATTTTTAGTAGAGACAGGGTTTCACCATGTTGGCTAGGCTGGTCTTGAACTCCTGACCTCAAGTGATCCTCCCAAAGTGCTGGGATTATAGGCATGAGCCACTGCACCCAGCCTATAATGGATCTTATCTAAAGCAATAACTATACATATAGAAAGAAAAAATAAACCGTAAAAATATATCAATTAATAATAAAAGTAAATTAATCTGATTAAGCCTCTAGATTTAACGACCAATTTCAAGGAAGGAAGGAGATAAGGACCTTATTAGGCAACTCCATATAGACATAATCAGCCAAATTCAGCAGCTGGAGAATTCAACTGGACAGTGATCCAGTTTCTGCAACATATAAATGGCATGGAAAGACAAAAGGGTTGGGAAAAGAGAACTGTTACAGATTAAAAGAGACTTAAGAGACGTATCAACCAAATACAATGTGTGCAGCATCATGTTTGGATTCTGCTTTAAACAAACCAACTGGAAAAAGATATCCTGAGATACTGGGAAGACTGAATATGGACTGAGGATTAGATGATATTAAGGAAGTACTGGAGTTTTTATAATATTAACATGATAACAGTGATACTCTACTCATTTTTGTTTGTTTATGGAGACAGGGTCTTGCTCTGTCACTCAGGCTGGAGTGCAGTGGCCTGATTATAGTTCACTGTAACCTTGAACTCCTGGGCTCAAGAGATCCTTCTGTCTCAGCCTCCAAGTAGCTGGGACTACAGGTACATGCCACCAGATCTGGCTAATTTTTCTTTTCATTTTTTGTAGAGACATAGTCTTGCTATATTGCCCAGGCTGGTCGCAAACGCCTGGCCTCAAGTAATTCTCTCACTTCAGCCTCCCAAGTGCTAGGATTGCAATTGTGAGCCACCATGCCCTACCTCTACCGAATTTTTAAGTCCTTAAGAATTAGTAAGACACATTGAAGTATTTGTGGGTGAAATAACATGACATTTGCAATTTGTTTTAAAATACTCCAGCCAGGAACAGTGGCTCATGCCTGTAATTCTAGTACCTTGGGAGGCTGATGCAGGAGGACTGCTTGAGCACAAGAGGTCGAGACCAGCCTGGGCAACATGGCAAAACCCTATCTTTACAAAAAATATAAAAATTAGCCAGATGTGGTGGTGCACACCTGTAGTCCCAGCTACTCAGGAGTCTGAGATGGGGGGATTGTCTGAGCATGAGGAGGTTGAGGCTGCAGTGAGCTGAGATCACGCCACTGCACTCCCACCCGGGTGACAGAGTGAGACCCTGTCTCAAAAAAAAAAAAAAAAAAATTAAGCAGGGCATGGTGGCACGTGCCTATAGTCCCAGGTACACTGGAGGCTGAGGTGGGAGGATCACCAGGAATTCAAGGCTACAGTGAGCTATGATAGCGCCACTTGCTGCACTTCAGCCTGGGCAACAGAGTACAACTCTGACTCAGAAAAAGAAAAAATAAATAAATAAGAATAAATAAAAAACTCTAGCCTTCCCTACCCCACCCTAGTCAAACTAGGACTGAGTTTACAGGGTGAGTTTAGAGATGAAGCAAAGATGTCAGAATACTGTTAATTACGGAAGCTGGTAAACGACTTTATGGGAATTCATTATATCCACTCTACTTTGGTACATGTCTTAAAAGTTCCATAATGATAATGTTTAGCTATAAAAAGAAAAAAATAATAATCTGCTACTATACACAACAAGATGGATACATCTCAAAAACATTACGCTGCGTGAAAAAAGCTTGACATAAAAGAGCATATGATTCTAACCCAGATATCCATTAATGGGTGAATGGATAAAGAAAATGTGGTATACACTGCTTCTTGGCCTTTCGGCTAAGATCAAGTGAAGAAAATGTAGTATATATACATAATGGAATATTATTCAGTCATAAAAAAGAAAGAAATCCTGTCACTTGCAGCAACATGGATGGAACTGGAGGTTATTATATTAAATAAGTCAAGCACAGAAAGACAAATATCGCATGTTCTCACTCATACGTGGGCACTAAAAAAGTAGATTTCAAGACAGAGAGTAGAATGGTGGTTACCAGAGGCCAAGAAAGGTAGCGGGAAGGAGGAGGGGTTGATTAATGGGTACAAATATACAGCTTGATAGATGAAATAAGAAATAAGACCTAGCATTTGATAGGTCAGTAGGGTGACAATAGCTTACAGTAATCTATTATGTATTTCAAAATAGCTAGAAGGAAATATATTTTTTTTAACTTTTAAGTTCAGGGGTACATATGCAGGTTTGTTAAATAGGTAAACTTGTGTCATGGAGGTTTGTTGTACATATTATTTCATCACCCAGGTATTAAGCCTAGTACCTATCAGTAATTTTTCCTGATCCTTTCCCTCCTGCACCCTCCCCACTCCCCGTTCCCATAGGCCCCAGTGTGTGTTGTTCCCCTCTATATGTCCATCATTTAGCCTCCAGTTCCATCCATATCCCTGCAAAAAACATGATCTCATTCTTTTTTATGGCCGCATTGTATTCCATGGTGTACGTACCACATTTTCTTTATCCAGTCTATCATTGATGAGCATTTAGGTTGATCCCATGTCTTTGCTATTGTGAATAGTGCTGCAACGATGAGCATTTAGGTTGATCCCATGTCCTTGCTATTGTGAATAGTGTTGCAATGAATATATATGTGTATATGTCTTTATAACAGAATGATTTATATTCCTTTGGGTATATAACCAGTAATGGGATTGCTGGGTCAAATGGTATTTCTGTCTTTAGGTCTCTGAGGAATCACCACACTGTCTTCCACAATGGTTACACTCCCACTAACAGTATGTAAACGCTTCTTTTTCTCCACAACCTTACCAGCATCTGTTATTTTTTGACTTTTTAACAACAGCTATTCTGACTGGTGTGAGATGGTAACTAGTGGTTTTGATTTGCACTTCTCTAATGATCAGTGATATTGAGCTTTTTGTCATGATTGTTGTATGTCTGCTTCTGAAAAGTGTCTGTTCATGTCCGTTGTCTACTTTTTAAATGGGATTGTTTTCTACTTGTAAATTTGTTTAATTCCTTTAGATGCTGGATATTAGACCTTTGTCAGATGCACAGTTTGCAAAAATTTTCTCCCATTCTGTAGGATGTCTGTTTACTCTGTTAATAGTTTCTTTTGCTGTGCAGAATCTCTTTAGTTTAATCAGATCTCATTTGTCAACTTTCGCTTTGTTGCAATCGCTTTTGGCATCTTCATCATGAAATCTCTGCCTGTGCCTATGTCCTGAATGGTACTGGTTAGGTTGTCTTCCAGG